AAAACTGTGGTCCTTTCAAAGCAACGTCAGGGCAGACTTTTCAAAGGAAGAGGGTGGTGAGTCTTGTCCTAAAACAGTCTTGTTCACCTGTCCCAGATTTGTTACTTGGCTCCAGGATTCCCTGTCACATCAAGATTGCCTTGATTCCCAAAGAAAATAACTCTGAGACGCTTGGGAAAACTCAGGACCTCTTTGTACCCCTGAAATATTCCTATAAGTAAATTCAGTCCAAAGACCTTCTTTCAAATACCAACCAGGACTCACTTGCCCTAAAAATAATGTCCTTTAAAGAAAAGACATATAAAAAACAGATAGATAAATGAATAAATGAATAAAAGACTTATTACTCAGAATATAAAGTAATATATGAAGGGGCTTCAAGAATGTCTTAGGATCTCATGATTTACGTTTTTCCACGAACTGTTTGAAGCTCTCTTGTATATTCACTGAAATAAAAATAGGCAATTACAGATAAATAGAAAAGAAATGCCCCTAGTATTTCAACACCTTGTTCCAGGGATTATCAACTTGGTTTACATCCTGGTCATAGTTGGTACGTGAATCATATTGGCAACCATAGTCGATAACTACTGAAAGTGTACTAGGTGTGTCTGGGTCCATTGCCTAGTTAAAATGTTACCTGGTCAGAGGAATTGTCTTTCTTTTTGTCCCTTGCCACTTTATAGAGGGGGGCATTCACTGAAGAGGGCTTGTCGACAGTCGAGTCAGAATGTGCAGGCTGATCTCTCTTGAAGACACATGAACCCTTCACCCCTCTTTTGTGTACTCACTGTGGCCAGCTTTCTTCTGGCTGGCTCCCCACACAGGCTGGGAAAAGGGAGGAAAGGACTATTGTTCATCAGCTCTGACACAGCATCAACAGGAGAGGCTGGTGATGATTATTCAATGATTGGTGTTTTAAGTGCCATCAGTTGGTTCCCACGCAGCGACCCTGTGCATAACAGAATGAAACACTGCCTGGTCCGGTGCCATCCTCTTCATTGTTCTTAAGGTAGAGCCCATTCTTGTAGCCACAGTATGTCAGTTGTCCTACTGTGGTGGCTAGTGTGTTGCTGTGATGCTGGGAGCTATACCATTTGTATTTCAAAGGCCAGCAGGGTCACCCAAAGTGAACAGGTTTCAGCGGAGCTTCCAGACTCAGAACATACTTCCGTGTTTCCCCAAAAGTAAGACCTATTTACAGTTTTGCCTCTCGTGGAACTATAAGGCATCCCCCGAAAATAAGACCTCCCCGAACATAAGGCCTCCCTGATAATAAGGCCCCCTGAAGCTACTGTAACTCTGGAATCTGGACCGTAGTGGCAGGCGCACAGCTCACTGTTGACCGCAGCGCAGCCGGAGCAGATAGGAAGTGCGAGACAATGTACCAAAGATTATGAGTAAATGTACCATAGGTTGTTGTACGTGGAAATAATGGTAGTAACAAGAAATTCTTGATACTGTAGGATTCACAGTTTGTCTGGTTATGCTGGTTTGTGATGACAACTACTACCGTACCGTATACAGGTAATACATTTCCTTTTTTGTTGTTCAACAATAAATGTGTACCGTATTCTTCTTCATGGAAAAATAAGATATCCCCTGAAAATAAGACCTACTGTATCTTTGGGAGCAAAAATTAATATAAGACACTGTCTTATTTTCGGGAAAACAGAGTACAAAGAAGGACTGTGCTGCCCACTTCAGAGGAAAGAGCTGCAGAAAACCTTATTCAGTAATGACCGGTTAGCTAATTGTTCAGTACTTCTTACCAATGGCTCCTTACTTTTAGAAGCATTTCTTTTCTTTGGACACATTCCAAGGGCTTCATCCCAGGAGCAGTAGTTTATGATTATTAGTCACATGGACAGGCATCTTGTCATCACTCCAGCCAGGCAGTTCTCCATTCAGGGCACTATTCCTTCAGAGTATAGCCCCTGGGTGTCATAAACCATTCAGTGCTAGCTAGACTACCAGCCAAGGAGCCCTGGTGGCTCAGTAGTTGGGAACCACAACCGCTCTGCCGGAGAAAGACAGGGTTTTCTACTCCAGTAGAGTTACAGGCTGGGAAACTCACAGGGGCAGTTCTACTCTGTCCTTTAGACATTGGCATTGCCTCAATGGCAGTGACTTTGGGTTTTTGGAGGCTCTTAGCCAAAAGGTTGGTGGGGCAAACTCATGCAGGGCCACCTTGTAATACAAGTCTGACGATCTGTTTCTGAGAGGTCTTGGCCTTGGAAACCGTGTGGAGCCGTTCTCATCTACACCCATAGAGTCACCAGGTGTGGGATCCAGCCTCACATCCATACGGGTCCTACGGGATGGTTGTGTAACTGAAGGGAAGAAATTAAGAGCAGACACAAGTTTTCAGCGGCTCACTTCCTCCATGATACCAGGTCTGAGCAGGAGAGGGAGAGAATGTATTCTTATACCAGTTTATACAGGGGTTGGCAAACCCCTTTCATTGCAGGGAGCCACATACATAATAAAGCGGGCAGTACCTTAACCCTAGAGGACCCTGAATTCAGTAGAGGAGTAACCTAACACCAGTACTGGGGGCAGGTAAGAAGGAGTGACTGTCCCCCAGCAGGAAGAACAATATCAACACCTCTGCACTGCTGGCCAGATAGCAATCAGCCATGAGCTTGTAAGAGGCAACTTTAAGGTAGCACTATTATGAGAGGATATTGTGGGGATTAATCTTAGTTATGAGAATGTGATTGGGACTCATCTCTAACTCATAAGTGTGAAGGCCTCCCTCCACCCAGAACCCTGGCCTCCCAGGCTTTTTAAATATGAGAATAAAGAATTTGTCCAAAAAAAAAAAGAATTTGTCTGCATACACTCTCTTCCCGATCCTCAGTTTCCCACAGCCATGATGTGGAATTGAGTGATGGCGACTAACAACAACAACAACAACAACAACAACAACAACAACAACAACAACAGCGTCCCTCCACAAACAGCACTTAGAAAATCTATACTCCCAGTCTAGAAAAGACTGAGATTGTAGCCAACGTTATTACCAGTCCTAGTGTTTAAGTTAGGCTCCTTCCACGAAGTCTGTAAGAGGTGGTCTGATTGGCCCCAGGGCCCTGACAACCTCCTGCATCTTGGAGAGGCAGGACAGACTCCCCTGAAGGCATTTGGAGCAGACAGTCCCAGGAGAGGGACAGGAAGACGTGAGACAGGTAGGTCCAAAGGAACCCCTACGTGTGTTTGGGTTTCTGTTGGGGGGACCCAAACAACCAGGAGAGGAAAGAGGAAGGTATAACAGACACACAGCCTCTGAAGCCAACTGCTTGGGCTCAGATGCCTGCTCCACCATTAATTAGCTGTGTGGTATGGAGCAAATGACACAATCTCTTTGAATTTTAGTTTTCTCATCTGTAATATGAGGATGATGGTTATCCTCACATTACATGGTTGAGCGGCAAATTAGCACATTACTCTTCTTATTTACTGGACTTCAGCATCAACTGCTGCATACCTTCCCAGGACTCTGAACACTCGCCTTACTGTTCAGTTGGATTAGTCTGGGTCAGTATTCTCTTTTCTGGACTGACACAAGAAACTAGCTTCTAGCTACAGCATTGCCTCTAGAAAGACATGCTATCTAGGTTTCACTCCCAACTAATCTAGAGAGAAATTTTTTTTTGGTAATGCTAAGGAGCCCTGGTGGCACAAGTGGTTAAGTAAAAGGTTGGAGGTTTGAACCTACTCGGAGACTCTACAAAAGAAAAACCTGGTGATCCACTTACAGGATAGAAAATGCTATGGGACTTTCTACTCTGCCACATGGGCTCCATCCCACTGCCATCAAGTCAGTGCTGACTCATAATGACCCCCCAGGGGTTTCCAAGACTGTAAACTATTTATAGGAGTAGAAAACTCAGTCTCTCTCCACGGAGCTGCTGGTGGTTTCAAACTGCTGACCAAGCAGATGGCAGCCCAGTGCATAACCACTCCACCACTAGGGCTCCATGCTCCTAGCAGCAACAACCCTTCAGTCAGTATAAGGCGATCTAGAGCGTTTTTAAGATAGCTTTCTGCTGTTCCCCTTTTACCGTGGCCACCTTCTCACTTGAAAATCAACAACAACAACAAACAGCACAACATTTTGTTTTCATCATAAGAGGAAAAGTCAGGGGGAAAAAAAAAAGACCAAACTCACTGCCATCAAGTCAATACTGACTCATAATGACCCCACAGGACAGGGTAGCATGACCCCTGTGAGTTTCCAAGACTGTCACTCCTTACCAGAGTAGATATTCCTATCTTTCTCCTATAGAGCAGCTGGTGGTTTTGAACTGCGGACCTTGCAGTTAGCAGCCCAACTCGTAAGCACTATGCCTGCAGGGCTCTCTTATAAAAGAAAAGAGCTATATTACTTTAAACTTCTTTAAAAGGGAAGAAGAGAAAAACAAATTTCCCCTAGAAAATCCCATATTTCTAATGCAATCATCGTTAGCTGTTAGCTTCTTAGACCATTCTTATTTCTTTTCTTTCTTTTTTTTAAAAAAAAAATTATTAGGGGCTCATACAACTCTTATCACCATGTATACATTCATCCATTTGTACACTTCTTGCCATCATCATTCTCAAAACATTTTCTTTCTACTTGAGCCCTTGGTATCAGCTCCTCATCCCCCCCCCCCCATGAATCCTTGATAATTGATAAATTATTATTATTTTTTCATGTCTTATGCTAACCAATGTCTCCCTTCACCCTCTTTTTCTATTGTCTGTCCCCCAAGGAGGGGGTTATATGTAGATCATTGTGATTGGTTCTCCCTTTCTTCCCCCACCTTTCCCTTGCCTTCAACCATTCTTATTTCTATAACTTTACTGGCAATCACAATACACTTACATGGTTTATTTTATATTATTTTTTAGGTATTAAAACAGGAATTTATTTATCGTGGGCAAGAGGACACAAACAATATAAAAATCAAAAGCTTATCTGGCATTGAATCTTTGGCCAATTGACGTTCCTTTCTCTACTTATCAGATGGGACTTGGCTTTTACTTGTACACATTCTTCTGAAGGGCTCCAGCCTGTTTACGCAATCCTCAAACAGGGGAGAAGCTATGGGGCAGATTCCTGCAGCAGTCTGACAGGGTATGAGCGATTCTTCCATTCGGCCTCCTTCCTTCTTTCCCTTTTGCTCCATGTGTGTTATAAACTGGTCCTTGCAGGCGATGGTGAGTCTGGTGAGCAATACAGAGGAGCTCTGGAAGCCCACTCTGCCATCTTGGTGCTGGTCCAAGTCCTTCACTATTTTGCCCACAGCCAGAGGGTGGTTTTGGCTTTCCAAAAATCCAGAGAATGCCTCTTCCATGAGCACCCCCAGGTCCTCCTTCGTTAAGGAGCATTTGTCCACAGCAAATTTGTGAAACGTGAACATCATCGTCTCCATGTTATATTCCATTTGACACGGCATTTTGGCCAGGTGTGTGGGAGCCTTGGCGGGGAGGTGCAAGGTGGGGGTAGGGGAAAGGGAGGGCTCAGCAAGCCAGACACAGGTCAGTCCATAGTTTATTTCTACCTTTGTCTTTTGGTCACTTAATATTTCTTCTCAAGAGCTTCCATGTTATTACTTAGCCTAGAAAAAAACTTTGGTCTCCAGTCTGCCCGTTTACCTGAGGGCGTTTTTGCACCATGGACATGATCAGTACCTTAGCTTTGGCATGTGTTCTGTCTTCTTCTAATAACGTACTTAAAACCAGAGAAGCGAAGCTGTGGTTTCCCAAGGACCTCACACAGCCCCTTTGTCCCGTGTGTGTTTACCAGGCCCTCGCCCACGTGGCCTCCGAAACTGGGTTTTTTCAGTAACAGAGCATGGCATTGCTGAGTCGGGCCTGACTCGATGGCAGCGCGTTTGGAGTTTGCGAAGAGCCCGGTCTGCCAGCTCTTCAAGCTGAATTCATATTGCCTCACCTCTCGCTATTAAAATTTGAAGTTAGTAGGGAGCCAGTGGAAAGGTCTGGGGGCTGGGCCCAGTCCCAAACACTAAGGGAATGCCTGCCCCTCCCCCGAGAAGAATTTATTTCAAAGGACGGTACTGAATCCCCAGCTCCAGGGGAGAGATGTATCTGATCAGAGCACACGGAGCAGATGAGTGGGGAGGAGGAGAGACTGGAGCACATCCTGACCCACCAGGGCTTGAGGACGATGACCCCAATTAGAACAGCCAGTCACAGAGAGGACCACATGGCCAGCCCCACTATGAGACATGATGCCCCTCACTGACCCATGGCCCTGCGGACGACAA